ACCAGTTGAATTAATCCTTTCGTACATAAGTCCTTCGCATGATGTTGTCGAGTATCGATGTGCTTGCTGCGCTTGTTTTGGCGCTCGAGGGAAACGAAGTCGATACAGCTGCGGTTATCTTCGTTAATCGTCGTTGGCTGTTGCTGTTCAACACCTAATTCGGACAACAGGCGTCGTAGCCACACTGCCTCCTGTGCCGCCTCCGATAGCGCGACATATTCTGCTTCCATAGTAGACATTGTGACACAGTTCTGCTTTCTACTACCCCAGCTGACCACGGCGCTTCCCAACATAAAAACAAATCCACTGGTAGACTTGCGGTCTGAGGTATCTCCTGCCCAGTCTGCATCACTGTATCCAATCAGAGTCAGTTCATCGTTTCGTTGATCTCCAAGACGTAAAACCAAGTTTTCAGTACCGACCAAGTAACGAACCACGCGCTTCAGTTCCACCCAATCACGCTGCGTAGGGTGGCTGGTGCAACGGCTGAGGATGGACACCGATGCTGCAATGTCCGGCCTTGTTTGCGTTGCCAGGTACAACAGCGCACCAACAAGGCTGTGGTACTGAACGTTATCAACTAAAGGTTCGGAGTCTGTCTGCTTCATGTACCCTGTGTCCAGAGGGTATCTCGATGTCTTGGCTCCGTTTAATCCATGGCGTTCAGCGATTTCCTTGATGAACGCTTTCTGGCTGAGGGAATAGAATCCATCGTTGCTCTTGTCAACCTTGATACCCAAAAAATGGCTTATCGGTCCCAACGACGAGATTTGGAAATGTTTGCTCAAATCTTGCTCCAAGAGGTTCAGCTGATGCTCATCTCCACCAACCAATACAATGTCATCTACATATATTAGAAGGTATAGCCACTCACCGTTATCTAACTGCTTCGAAAAAAGGCAAGCATCTGAATCCGATTGCTGGAATCCCAAACTCAGGAGTACTTCCTTCACAGTTGCATTCCAGACGCGTCCCGCCTGCTTCAGCCCGTACAAACTACGGTGCAGCCTGCATACCAACTCCTCCTTTCTGGGCTCCGCGTATCCCGGGGGCTGCCGCATATAAATTTCTTCACTTAATCTTCCATTCAGGTAAGCATTCTTCACGTCGATGTGGCGTACTTGAAGCTTTCTGTGACCTGCTATTGTCAGAAGTACCCGGAATGTCGACGGCATTGAAACCGGCGCAAAAACTTCACCAAAATCACTGCCGTAACGCTGTTCGCACCCCTGGGCAACTAGCCTAGCCTTATGGCGCACCACTTGGCCAGCGAAGTCCTTCTTCTTCCTGAATACCCATTTCGAGCCAATTGCTCGTCGATTCTCCGGTAGCGGAACCAACGACCAGGTGCTCATCGACAATAATGACTGGTATTCAGCGTCCATAGCTTCAATCCACTTGTCCTTCCCGGCACTGTTCACTGCTTCACTGTAGTTCTTCGGTTCCGGATCTTCCATCTTCACCAGTCCGACGACAAAATCTTGATACTTAACCGGCAGTACTCCGGTATTTTTACGATGCGGCCTGCTGTTCACTCGCTCTTTACCGCCCTGCGGCCCGTCGTTCACTTGCTCTTCGCCGCTCTGCGGTTCGTCGTCGTCAGAATCCTCATCCGAAAAACCTTCACAATCCGGTTCCTCATCGATACTTGCATTATCGACGAAATCTGGCTCAATCCTGACCAGTTGATCCGAACTGCTCTCCACTACAACTTTGTTCCTTGTCATAGACGGTTTCTTGTGACCTGTGCGTTTCTGCTTCTCTGCATTGCTTCTTGACTCCTCCTGCAGCTCTGGTCCGAGTTCGAGGAAACGAGCATCCCTACTGATGACGATTTTGCTCGTTTGCTTATCCAAGAAACGATACGCTTTGGAGCCACAAGCGTAGCCGACGAATGTTAGCCGTTTAGCCCGGCTGTCTAACTTCCCTCGTTTTGCATCTGGGATGAATACGAATGCTTCACATCCGAACACCTTTAGATGACTCAGATCGGGTTTCTCTCCGCACCAAAGTTCCATCGGTGTCTTCGTCACCGATCTTGAGGGCAAGCGGTTCTGGATATACGCAGCAGCAGCGATTGCCTCTCCCCAATATCTCTTGTCCAGGCCGGCGTCGAGGAGCATGCATACCGCCATTTCCTGGAGGTAGCGATTGCGCCGCTCCGCTACGCCATTCTGCTGCGGTGCGTAGCCTGCAGTCAGCTGCATCTGGATGCCTTCATCTCGATAGAATTGCTCAAGCTCCTGGTTAACGAATTCTCCGCCACGATCAGACCTGATTATCTGTGACTTTCTCCCAAATTTATTCTGAACCATCCGCACGAAGCTCATGATGCATTGTTTCGCTTCGGATTTTTCTCTTAGCAAATACATGACTACGTACCTGCTAAAATCATCAATGATGGTTAAAAAATACTTCTTTCCACCGGGAGTCACGTTGCTCATCGGACCACAGACGTCCGTGTGGATTAACTGGAGCGGCTGCGTCGTCTTCCGCTCGGACTGTTTGGGGTATGGCAACCGAGTCATCTTCCCTTCCATACACGGCTCACACACTATCTTGGCACCACAGTTCACGAGGATCAAACCGGTAGCGAGATCTTCCTGTTGGATCTTCTCGGACACTGCAGGGTCACGATGCCCGAATCGTCGGTGCCATGTATGCTGGCAGTTCACTGTATGGAACTGGGGGTTTGCGACCGCTGCAATCTCTGACTCACTCAAAAAATAAAGTCCACCGCGCCTCTCTCCCAAGGCCACGACTGATTCCGCTTTATCACGCACTTCAACACTGTTCTTCGTGAATAGCACACTGTAACCTTTGTCCGCCATTTTACTGACTGACAACAACCCACCGTCGAGGTTCGGCACATACAACACTTTGTCCAGATTGATCTCAACCGGCTCCCCGGTTCCGTCAATGCCTTTCACGGAACCATAGCCAACACCACCAGATTTCGAGCGATTTCCGTCCGCCATCACTACCGTAACACACGACTTTTCCAGCTTATTGAAAAATCCTTCACTGCTGGTCATGTGGCAAGATGCCCCACTATCGATTGCCCACAACCGATCCACTTTTGCCACGGCACAGATGGCTTCGCTCTCAACGTAAGCGGAGAAACACACACTGTTATCTTCGGGATTTTTCACTTGCTTAGCCTTCGCCGGACGTTGGCCGCTACCACCCGGTTTTCTGTCGGATGGGCCTCCACTACTGTTCTTTTCTTTCACACTTTGCCACTTACGACAGTCAGCTTTAAAATGTCCCGGCTTTTTGCAGAAGAAACACACTTTGTCTTTGTTTACATTCTGCGTTTTGAGCACTTGTTCGCCAGAAGAAAACTTTCCACTCCGTTCTTGCCGCTTGTGAAATTCGTCCATCAACTTTGATCGCACCAACTGCATCGTAACGTCCGCGTCAGGTCGTGCTTCGAGAGCGGATGCCAAGAAATGATAAGATTCTGGCATGCTCCGTAGCACCATGGCGATCTTCAGTTTCTCAGCCAACTCAAGTCCAGCATTTGTCAACCGCTCGAACAGTGCATCTAGTTCCAGCAAATGTTGTTCCACATTTCCGTTTTCACTTAACTTTGCATCGCACAGCCGATTTAGCAGCGATAGCTGCGACGATGCTGTCGACTTTTCATGGTATGCCTTCAAGGCAACCCATACCGCCTTCGCACTGTCACTGTCCTTAATTAACACATATTGACTTTCGTCAATGCACAATCCCAATGTGGCACGGGCTTTTCGGTCAGCTTTCGTCCAGGCTTCAGTAACTGGCTCCGGCTTGGCATCAGCCACGACATGCCAAAGATCCTCCCGGATCAAAAACATCTCCATCTGGAACTTCCAACTGGCATAGTTGGAGTTCCCAAGCTTGCTGATTGCAAACTTTCCCGGATCCGCCATTTTTCACTCAATCACGCCGGTAAATCACCACCAGGCAACAAACCGCACGACGACGACGCCAAAAAACAAACGACCGAACTTTCTTCCGCGAATTTTCTCCGTTAAATCGACCGAGTTCCTCGATTCCTCACTGGGCCCATAACCTGTTGGAAGGAAATGGCCACAACAGGCGAGAACAGCACAGGGAATCCGATTACCGCGTGGGGAAAATGTGATATATACTCGGACAATTATTGGCGACACAACCTTTCAATTGCAAACGTGTTATGTATTATCGGCAAGGAAAAAATTTCAAGAGAAATAACAAAAAAGGTGAGCATAGGGCGCTTTGTAATTTGAGTTCAGTGGATCAGCGCCCCTATGATAAAAATATAGATACGTTCAACATGATCACGCCTTCCTTCGGATGGGAAGTAAAGCCGTTGGTCCCCGGTTCATGATTTGATGGGTCGATAGGTAGGGTCCAGGTGTGGGAGCTGCCTTCCTGGCACGTCGGTAGCATTGGTGCTCAGCACGGAAAACAAGATCGACGGAAAAAACAAACCAAAGGAAAAATTTTAGTAACTTGACAATGCTTTCCTAGTTATTTTCGTTTGTAACTGTAGTAACTGTAGTATATATATGTCGTCTGTATAATCTGTACTTTTTTACAACACATCATTGGGACTATTTCTAGTCTGTTGATGCAACCATAACAAATAAACAAATAATGCAAAAAAGGTACAGGGTTAGAAAGCTCTTAAGTAACAACAGTTAACAGTTAACAACGAACACTATGCTGAGGGCCGGCGATAAGTCCCAGTTGGGACGTAATAAAGCCAAAGAAGAAGAACAAGACTAGCCTTCAGTCTCGCCGAAGCCGCTGTTTCCGTTGAGCGTATTGGTCCACTAGTGACACTTTTCACTCTAATCACCAATAGGGAAACGGGTAAAAAATAAACCCCCCGATCGGGGCGGAAAAAAAACTGATTACTGGATCAGTCGAACGCTTGACAAGGAATGACTTTTAAGTTTGAGACGGCACCTATTAATGTTTTTTTTTTAAACTGCCTATTCCGCTTTTCTATCGAATGTTGTTACAACCAGGAACTTCCGGAAAGAATCAGCAGCGATGAGGAACGCGAACTCTTATCCCTACTGTGTAGGGTTCACGAGCTGGAAGCGGATAAGGTATGTGTCCTTGAGCAGATGTTGGCGGATGCAACTGAACCTGTTTGTCCTATTTTAGGTTTCACTGCAAGCGGAGCGATTGGCACGCCAAGCGGAACTCAGACGTCGTGATCTGCAGCTTCTTCGAGCAGAGCGTCAGAGGCGCCTATGTGAGGACATTATCAGCACCCAGCGGAGAATTATTGAAGGTAGAGCAAATTTTACTTTGACTCTAAGATGAGTTAATCAATCGTTGCATTTTAGAAGGGCAAGTTGATCTTCCAGAGGATCTACGCGAGCTGTACGCTTTGTATCAACAGGAAATTCACGCTAGTACTTATACCAGTGGTCTCTATACGGCCAGCCGTGACTATTACGATAGTAAATTACCTCCGATAAATCTCAGAGAGCTTGGGTAATTATGTTCATACACCTCAAAGAGATAATGAATGACTTGTGCTTTCGTTTTAGCATGAATTCTCCGGGAAGTTCCAGTTCCAGCTCGGAGTGGTCCCCTTCGCCGTTGCCTCCTATTGATGCAGAAGGCAACCTGATCAACCCGGATCGCGTGATGGGTGCACCAGTGGGACCCAAGCTTCCCTCGATTAACCGTTTACGTAGCAGCTACGGCAGTACACAGAGCGCATCCAGTGATGATTGAATCTGAAGTTATTCCATGATCTAACCCATTACCAATTGAGAATTCCTTTCGTGATACGTTATGTATTGATCCAAAGCTAATTAAAGTTATGTTTGAAAAATAAAAACACCTTTCCGTTTAATATAGATGACTACCCAACGTTTATTTTCGTTATTAATTAGGTATAATGCAGAAAACTGTTTCCAATTGCGGTCTTCTGCGCTACATAAAGTATTCAGATTAAATAGTGTATATGGAAATGAAGTTTCAAATAACTTTTATCGTGAATTGTACCGTAGAAGTATTTCGTTTATTATCTGAAAAGAGAGGAAGTTTAAGCTGATTACTCCTAAGCAGATTCAAAAGCTTCTATTCACCTTTATACGCATGGTTCAACGTAATTTCCCGGAAACAGTCCAGTGACTCCATCCATGACGCCCTCCCACCACCCGTCGTCATTTTTCTTCAGCACGTACAGCACTGAACTTTCCTGGAAGCTCAGCTCGTCATCTTTATCGGCGTAGTAGTCGTAGATGGCGACCACCTTCTCGATGTAGTTCTTCGGTACCCATCCGGGTAGGTTTTGGTCATCTGGGACGATGGGTGCAACCAGGCTTTGTGTATTTCTAGGTCGTCCGAAATCGGCGTGATCGGATTCTTCCGGTGGAGGAGGCGGTGGCAATGGTGGGGATTGTGACCCAGGGCGTGGCATGTTCCGACTTAGCGTGTGCATTCCAATATGGCCGTGGTCGGGCATCTCGTGCGTTACTGTCAGTGGCGACGGTGGTGCTGCAAGTGATGGCAAAAATCAAATCGGCATCAGCTTCAGGGATCAAAAGAGATACTCACGTGGCATACTGTTACGTTCGTCAAATGTAGACTGATGTTGAATTGTAGTCTGAAGTGGATGGACCATTCCAATCTGCGGTGGATGATGCATTGCAATCTGACTGGGTGGCATTGGCATAGGAAGGGCACTGTATCCTGGTCCACGTTCACCGCCAGATGTACGTCTGGGATGTCCAACCGGAAAATTTGGAGCATAATGCGAAGGAACCTGCGGTGGAATGACCACCGGTGGGGTACGATATTCCCGTGATGCTTTGCCTAAGGTACCGGTATTACTTGCGTTTTTTCCAAGCGTTCCTGTGTGCCCAGCACTACGGGTCATCTGAGGTGGCGTTGGTGGTTTTGTAGTCGGTGGGGGACCAACCGTTATATTAGTCACCGATAGGGATTGAATGGACCCCTGACTCGAAATGCGATGCTTCTTCTGGTTGTTGTTGTTGTTGGTCAGTGCTATTCCGTGTCCTATTTCATCCAGCAGACCGTAATCGATTGGCTTGCGCACGTATTTGATAGGCTTTTCCGGATTCAGCGGGGCCACAATCTTGTACTGCCTGGTACTGACCTTGTTGGCCGTCAAAACGCCGATTTCTCTCCTAGCCACCTTTTCCTTGTGAATCATCACCGTTTGGGATATATGATTCATTTGGGACTCCATTTCGGCCATCTGCGTGGCCTGAAGATCCATCAACTGCAGAAAGTTGTAAGCCAAAGTGTTGATCTGGTAGGCAACGCTGGCCAACGACTGAGTGGTGTAGTTTTTCGTCTCCTCCAGAGATGCTTTTTTGTTATCAGAACTGAAAAAGCAAACAAAAGGTTCAATTTGGGTAAAATTGTACCTCTCACTCATGGGATCTTTGGATGTCTCTCTGACTAGACACGGTTGCCTAATTATCGCGGTGAAAGATCGGAAAGGGAAATTTTTCCCATTCGAGTGAAACAATAGCTGCGTGGGTGCTTCTGGCGTTAGCAATGAAAACAACTGGGGCGTGAGATTTTGCTATGCTTGTGAAGTATATACTTTCTGAGAAGACATTTCCCACCAGCCAACCCCACCCATATCGATTGAAAATATTGATCCACTTCCAGACGTTATCACAATTGCAGCCCCAAAAAGACTAGACATGGACTTACCGATGATAGGTATCTTCGCAATATTCGGCTACCCGTTCCAAATTGGTGTAGCTTTCCTGCAGATTCTGCCTCCCCTCCGGAATTTCCGTCCGGATCAGAGCAATTAAGTCGTCCATTTTTACTGATGCTTTTACGTAGCTCTAAACTGACGACAGAAGGAACTTGATTAATTTAGTATTCAAATTTCTTTGAGCGCATTCACCTCCAACGACGGAGCAACTTGTACACTAAAAAAATACTGGTAAACACGTCCAATAACACAGTTTTTATTTTCTAAAATTGTGGAAATAAATGAAACTATTTGTCATTCTTCCGCTCGTCTTGTAAAACAGCAAAATGGACACAGTCTATTTTGAGTAAAAGTAAAATCGTCTTTTGACGTGTACTGGTTGCTATAATTTTTATTCCCATAAAATCCATTTCAAAGCGTTCCCTCTTATTTTCAAATCACCAGTTACACTGAACCTAGTAGACTTCTATTTTTTGTTGCTTGACTATTTTTAGAATATAGTAGCAATTACAAAATTCGTTTTCTACATTTTGATGTTGTTTGAATTTTAGTTACTGCGGTCATGTCCAGTTTAGTTAGGTATTGAACAGTTTTAAAGATTAAATCAAAACGCTTACTTGTGCAACGTTGCATTTACGTCAAACGCTATATAGCACTTACGTCTTCAACAGGTAAAGGATTCCATAAGAATAGTTGGGATTCCTAAGGACATCGTATCCTTATCGTTGTGGAAACAGAACCATCATAAGGCTTTTCTTATCCTTGGTTGACGTGCTCGTACATATGGACATATCGCTGTGTGTCTTAATTGATTGGTGAAAAGATTGGGTCCGTAGAGTTTTTGCACTAGTACAGTATATCCTTGAACTCCCTTTTTAGCTCTCCGTTCATATACAACTCCCCTTCCTTTTTAACTGTGATCAAGCTCCCGAAGGTTGTTTAGCAAGTTACACACGATTCAGCAGAGCCGTACAATTGTTTATTCCGAATATTGGTCTTGGAAGTGCTTGGTGTAGTGTTTGGAAAAATGTCAGCCATCCAATTGCTGAAGGAACTAATAAAGGCTTCCGAAAAAGCGGCAAACATTGCCAGAGTTTGCCGTCAGGATGAGCATCTCTTTGGGTTGCTGATACAGGAAAAGCCCAAGGACGAGGCCAATGCTAGATTCGAACATGATTTCAAAACACTAGCCGACTGCTTGATACAGGAATCTGTAAAATACGACATAGGAAAATTGGTAATTTGACAGATTTTTTTCCCCCATTGATCGACGGCAAATTTTCAAGTGAAAATTTATTCAGTTTCCAGAGCTTCGTAAAAATATTAGAGGAGAAGAAAATCCTAATTTTACCAATACTTGCGGTGAATCAGTTGTCATTTCCGTATCGGATGATCGAAATGAGACGACAGAAAACCTACAAAAGGTTGTGTATACATTGCATATTGCATCATGGAACAGTAAACTTGTTACGTAAACATATTTCAGGTACTGAATGGCGACAAGACCGCAGCATTGCGATTGATCGATGAGGTGTATAGGGAAATCGATGTAGATGAGGATAAGTGGCAAATTCCCAACGAATCCGTTTCTCTTGACCATGAAATCACCGAACTGGGCATATGGATTGATCCTATCGACGCCACGGCGGAATATATTCAAGCGAAGGAAAAGTACTCGAAATTTCCTAATATCATGGCGTCTGGGCTTAAGTGTGTAACCGTGCTGATTGGCGTTTATGAGACTGCACAAGGCAATCCAATTATTGGCGTTGTGAATCAACCCTTTGCCAACGAACCCGAGACGAACGAGTTCGAGGGCAAAGTTTATTGGGGACTTACAATTGGTGATTTGAAATATAACAACATAGTGTCTGTTGAAACAGAAGAAAAAATAGCAGTGCTATCTCCCACAGAACAATCAAAATACGTAGAATTTCTTAAGAAACAACTAAAATACGATATTATATACTCATCTGGTGCGGGATATAAAATTCTCAAAGTTTGTACCGGGGAAGCTGAACTGTTTCTGCTCAGCCGGGCAAACACTTACAAGTGGGACACTTGTGCTCCGCAAGCGATTCTACGTTCATTAGATGGCGAATTGTTTGATTTGCAGGATACACTGGTGAACAAGTCTTTAAAGAAAATTTCATATCGTGATACAAAGATCACTCGTAATACAGGTGGACTAATTGCATATCGAAACATCGAAAAATTCAAAGATTTCCTTAAATTATAAACAGCCGTTTATGGGAAATACAAAACTACCTTTAATTAAATGTCACAACAACAACAACAACAAAAAAAAATACTAAAACGACTAATCATTAAACCTAACGAATAAACTGGAAATAGCGGCTGTTCGTTGTTGGAAACAATGGTATTTGGATATTTAAATGTTGATAGTGTTGAATACTAGATGAAATTACTCTTTGCAATCCCAAAGGGACATGTTCTAACCGCTGTTCGCAAAGCCAAATTTGATGTAATCAAATCCAACTGGCGAAAACCACTCGGATGGCGAATATAAGTATAGCTCTTTTTTCTTAAGTTTATTAACCAAGCATAAACTTAAATGTGAAACTGATCATCTTAAAAACCAATAGTACAAAACCTTAATGCTTTCATATTTGTATCAAATTGATCTCATTGCTTTTAAAATCCCATCATATAAGTTCTTTAATTTAAAGTATATTTTAATCATTCTAAACATACAGGCATTCAGATAAAGTTTTGAACACATATAATGGAAATATATGTCTATTATAGATAACCTGTATTTGGTCGAATATCCGTGAATTCGTACTTAATAGAAGATGCTTTTTCTGATGCGAATGTGTTTGCACTTTCAAGATGAGTATAACAATAAAAAAAAATATCGTTCGGACAGTTGTTCTAAAATCTGTGAATCATTTTTATTGAAGTAGAAGGCAATAGGGAAACATTATTATGTGATGCTATTTAGATGACTTTTAGATTGATGCATTTATTGTATTGTGGATCCACGGGTATCCGTTTTGCGATCGTATCTGATGATAAAGCTGTACTGCAGAAACAAATATATACAAATATCTATAACCATTCAGCAATGTGTGTTAGCGTGAAACGAATATTAAACAAGCATCAATTAGCGAAGCTTTAATGTATATTTAGAAATAGTTGTGCATTTAAAATGCCGAACAGATGGTGTAATATGTAATTTAACAGAACATTAATAAATTATTTGTGAAAATAATCCGTTTACCTGTTTTTAATTCACATCCATCAAAAGTCCATCTTGAAGATGAATGGGAAAGATTTTGAATTACGATTATATGACAATCTGGTCTGATGCGCAGAGGGGCTGACAAAATCGGGTCATTACTGTATCTTAAAAAATAGCTCGTTCATGATTTTAAATAAATGCAAGGATGAATTTTCAAAAGGACAAAGACAAATATTGAAGCTAGAATAAGAGTTCATTCATGAAAAAATATTCTTTTCTGAGTAATTCTCGTGGAAACCAGGCCGCCATTGACACATGTTCTTTAAATATTTATATATATATCAGTATCAGATACTTTCAACACATCTTTTTCTATATTGAGGTTCACAATTTTCCACGCATGATTCGATATAAATTGTGTTCATTTTCCAACCGAAGTTGGAATTCAACAGAAGCTGCTTGGTAATCCTCTTGTTTAACGAAAGAAAATGCCATTGTGTTGCCTTGACACACAACAACCCATTCATAGAACGACGATGCATCTGCTAGCAACTTGTCTCTGCAGGGCGACAAGCTATACAGCATGCTTTGTAGTTCTGACCAGTGTTGGAAAAATATCAAAAAATCAAATCTCACCAATGCTCATGATCACGCTTGATTTTCGAGACAAAAATGAACAACCAAACATCTGCGGTTGATTTTGCAAACTGTGTTATCGCAGCTCGGAATAAGCTGCGAACAGATGGTCTGTTGACTCGCGTGTGGATTATCTACAAACTCCTCAGGTGAACTTGCCCTAATATCAACTAGTTGGTAATGGTTTTCAGTTTGAGTCCAGTTTTTACACTTAACAGTTTAAATTGGAAAATTTTCCAATTAGTCAAATCAGGGCATCCTTCACTTTCCAAAAAGTAACACTTAGGAGAAGGGCTCATGCATATTAGTGAATTTTGTATCAACTTGGTCAAAGATCTGACTTTCATCATCGGTAAAGCTTTCACAGCACGCAAGCCTAACTTAATGTTTTCGTGCCTCTGTGTACGTACTAGAACTTCCGGTAAGTATGCATTCTATAGGTCGAAGTTTGGCAAAATTTGAAAATCCAATTAGGGAAAAAATCCCTGATATTTCCGAACAGTTCGTTAGCAGTCCAAGAAGCAAACGTTTTTGTTTAGTTTCTCGTCCATTAGATGTTCTGACACTGATTTTGTCCCGAATACCGGGCATCGTATTGATTTTAACATTTTAAAATTTCAAAAGCAGTTTTTTCCGACGCATTATTTTAGATAACAAAAAGCTTGTACTATTCGATTCCTTTTGATATTTTATACAAAATGACGCGAGCTTTTTGCAATCTAAAATAATGGGACGAAAAAAACTGCTTTTGATTTTTAAAAAAATGCATCAAAGTAAATTGAACCTTAACTGCATCCACAGCTAGCTTAAATAATCGACAGTGGGAGCCCGGATGGTCGAAGCTCTCTGACACCGATGTTCTGCATTTCAAGTCGCAATAGAATCTCTGCCATGCTATGTGTTCATGCAAAATTTAGCTTCTTCAGCATTTTTTTAGCTTATTCAGCTTTTAATCAGTTCAAATTGTTTGCTGGGACTTCCTCCACGTTAATATTATCTTCGTCGTCTGAAACTACCATAGGCTGACAAGGACGATTCTGCTGCAGACGAGGCGCTTCCAAACGGCAGATTGGACATATGTTGTCTCCGAGATTGGGAACGGTCGCAGATCCGATCGATTCAAAATAAGCCAAGAGGTTTGGTGTCACTTTTGTAAGTTTCGAAGCTTTTCTCCAGTTTGTGTGATTAGTTTTTGCAAAAGGGTTAGGACTGCCTTTTTGGATACCTGAATTGCAACATCCTTAGGCTCTGAACCATTTGGTGGATTATTTTAACTTTTGGTTAAAATTTGACAGATGAAAAGTTATCGATTAACCCTGCTATCCGAGCGTGGTTACTTCTGACAGACAAGAAGTTAAATTTTGACGACCGTGGCTCGAAAACCGGTCGATCGACAGCACGGGGATTTTCGAACATAAGAAATAACTTTCGAAATGTCACTTTTAACCATGAGTTAAATTTAACTCGGCAAATGGTTCACAGCCTTAGGCTCTGAACCATTTGGTGGATTTTTTTTAACTTTTGGTTAAAATTTGACAGATGGAAAGTTATCGGTTAACCCTGCTATCCGAGCATGGTTATTTCTGACAGACAAGAAGTTAAATTTTGACGACCGTGGCTCGAAAACCGGTCGATCGACAGCACGGGGATTTTCGAACATAAGAAATAACTTTCGAAATGTCACTTTTAACCACGAGTTAAATTTAACTCGGCAAATGGTTCACAGCCTTAGTGAATCTGGAACACAACAAATTTACGCCGAGAAAAATCAAACGTCAAAATCATTGTGATGCACGGATTTATACACGCGAACAATGAGCCTACACAAAAACAAAATCCATTGGCAAAAATACTAAATTGATGGTTTATATTAAATACTCCCACCAATAGATTTTTGCAGAAACGAAATTCATTTAATTTTACTATTTTTTCTATCAAAACTACTATCAAATTCTGTTTGAGTAAGCATAGTAGTTTTAACAGAATGGTAGTAAATTTAATTATATTTATAGTCAACTATACTGAAATCATGGTAGATTTAACGGTATTAAGCGTAGTTATACAGAAAATAAGTGTATTCTGCAAAATAGTATTCCTAACTATTATCTTTGTTTCAGTGTACAATATGCAACCACGCAAACAAATATACAACACACGCGAACTGAACGCTGGCGCTGCTTTGATGTAGATGGAGCGTTATGCGTGGAAAATTGTGAACCTCGTTATAGAAAAATTGTTATTTGATAATGTTAATGTCATTGGTCACCTAATCTGTTGAATGTATCTGATAGCATTTTTTTCAGCCTTTAGATGGTGACTTCAGAGTCAAAAACGGTGGATGCAAATATAGTGAAAAATAAGTTTTTTGATAAAATTCAATATGCACAGAAAAAAAGTTGTTGAATATTACATCCAAACTGCTGCAACCAGGTCAATCCATCGGTTGTGTAATACTGTGTAATATAACCATAGAAGTAACTCTAAGACTAGAAGGTCCCGAAATAACGTGCTCAACTTTTTGGCTCAGCTCTGGTACTCTCTTCGGTCCCAAGCTAATCGATTCACCCCTCGAAGCATAGGAAAAACTAAAAACACTTTATACTAAGACTTGCGGATGTAAAAACAGTAGAACTAGCAACCAGCGAAAATAACAACAAAAGCTACTTAAAAACTGGCCTCACTGCAAATCATGCAAACTTCACATGAACGCTTGATAATGTTTGTTTTGACGGACGACTGACACAAGACTGTTTGGAGAACATTTTCTCAGAGTTACGGCGTCGGCAATTACGACCTACTGCTCTTCAAATTAAGGATAATTTGAAGCTCCTTACTGTATTCCAATACATGACGAATGTGAAAAATTCATCTTACGACTGGGACTCATGTGAATGGCTGACTCGCTTTCCAGAGCGTTTGGAGGACTTAGCAAAGAAACGAAAATTGGAATCGGAAGTAGAACCATTATTACAAAATGTAAAGCTCGATAGCTGCACAAAAGATCAGCAGCCAGAGTCTATCTACGATGTCGATGGATTGATAGATGAGTGTGAAAATCTGGTAACTCGTGTATCTGAAAAAAAACGTGGTGTACTATTTGGCTGGGATGGTTATGCGTCAGCTGTCTGAGAGAGCGAGTGTATGCAGTGCATGCATCGAGAGTTGTATGAACAAAAATACGGTTTCCGATCAGTTTGCTGTGTTTACCCAGTTCAAGGATTATACAGGCAACGCTTTAAATTACGTCAACGTTGAAACGTATAACTTGTTTTTGGAGCTGGAAGATATATTTAAACGTAATATTTCAGTATTCCGATTGCTGAATGAGAATCTAGAGTTGAAATATTATAACCTGATGATGAAAGTAGTATCAGCACCACACTTGCCAGAATGTCACAAGATGAAAGAAAAATCATCAGACGATATATTCAATTCCGCTTACGAGTAAGCCGGCAAATTTTTCCTCGAGACAAACGACATGACAGCAAATCTATGGCCATATGAATGACAATATTTTAAATATACACAATTGATTGAAGTTTCACTAGATTTTAACGCTTAATGAAAGAAAGATTGAATTAAAACCGGCATGGAACAACAAAAACATGTTTGTAGCATTTTTCTTTATTTTCCATTTTAAGTTACCTATTCGAAAATGTTAAATCTGGATAACAATGCTTCCCCCTTACCGAACCATCGAATCTTACATGTTCGTTTGGCTGCACTTTTTGACAGCTCGTTTGGCTGCATAAAACAAATCTTCGCAAGTCTTTGTATAAAGTGTTTTTAGGAAAAACCAATAACCCCTCATTTTATCTGTCAAACTTTCATAGTGAATCAAAACAAACATTGTGTAGTACTAGAATTTCGACTAGAATGGGGTACGTTAATCGTTTGCTTGGGATCAATACGCTAGTCAAGTAGTGAGCCAATTTAAAATCGTTAGTTTCGTATTGATTGTTGATATAACGTTGTACCACAGACAAACAGACATAACACTCGCAAGTTGTTCATCGAACAAGCATTTAACGGTCAATTTAAAAGTATCGTAGTTGGTAGTACCACCACCTGTGGCGCGCATAGTCAATTCTCTTGCGTTTGACGTTTACACACTACCGCCATCTGTTCAGCGTACTACCCACCACAGTGTACTCAACAGATGGCGGTAATCTTTTTGCGACGATGTTTTACAGTGAGAAATATTCAATGTGTTATGTCTGTTTGTCTGTGGTTGTACGATGTACATCGATTTTGCGGACAAAATTACATCCATTGATGTAATATTGTATCTGTTTTTTGCTATATATTACATCATTATTTCATACATCAGCTTGAATTACATTGATCGATATTTCATTTTTTTGCTGTGTATGTGCGTTACACATGGCTTTTTTGTGTACACATATTAAGTATGTGTCCGACACATAAACATCATTTGTTGATCACATTGCAAAAAAATCATGTGTGGGACACATAAAGACTAGAGTCGGTGTATAATGAGTCACGCCAAGAGTGAAGCCAAGTCTACCTATTGAACTGTCAAACCGGCTACCTATCGTGCAAAGTAAACAAACATTACGATGCTATGAAAGGTCCACGAAATGTATTGCAATAAAGTATAAAATATAATCGAAGAAATGATCATAATCACGCAGTGAGCATTAAAATGTCATGGGATACGTTTGGTAATGATCAGTAATGAGAATTTCTGCTATTTTTATAAGATAATATGACAAAATCACTGATGTAATGATTTACTACAGCCGCTATTTTTTTTCTCTCGCTAGAAGTCATTTGAAGTTGATGTAAAAGTGCTCTGTTGCCAAGTGAAAAGAAAGGGAATCTTTCGAAAACCGTGATGCGAGTTCAACTGTTTTTCTCTTGGCGTGACTCATTATACACCGACTCTAATAAAGACAATCTTTGGAATTTTATCACTGTAACGTCGTTAAGCAAAATAACCAATACAATTGTATTAGGCCGAGCTTCAAGATTGAAGTTAAGTGTCCTTTTAAAATGTGTATGGTTATTTTTCTTAACGACGTGTTCGGGTATCATCCAAACAATTTGAGGAGTAGTTCTATCATTTTAGTTATCGTTCGTTTATTGTTTGTTTTATTAGGGTATGTAAATCAGGTTGTAATTAACGGACTTAATAAAAAAAAAACACCGTACCCGAACAATAATCCAAATGATAGCACTATTCGATAAATGGTTTGGATGATATCCTGAACACGTCGTTAAGCAAAATAACTATACTACACAGCAAAAAAAAATGTAATTTCGATCAATGTAATTCAAGCTGATGTATGAAATAATGATGTAATAGCAAAAAGCAGATACAATATTACATCAATGGATGTAATTTTGTTCGCAAAATCGATGTAGATCGTACGTTATATTACACAACCGATGGATTGACCTGGTTGCAGCAGTTTGGAGTAATATTCAACAACTTTTTTTTCTGTGTAATATCTCGACTAATATATTATTAGGGGACGTGGTTTTACTTTAATCCATTAATGGGCTATTGTCTGTTAGCGTGTAGCGAGAGTCAGATTTTTTTCGATTTTTTTGACTGCGAAGTGTTTCTGTTTTCTGCTGTTCCCTTTGTATTCCGGCTGCCTGGGCTGTGCACATCGCGCACATGCCATTTCGTAAACAAACGTACTGCGAACAAAACGTGTCGTGGAAATAAATTGTAATTGCGATTTTGTATTAATGAAAAATTCTTCCAAAATGCCGGCTGTGGCCAAACATAGTAGGACAAAGCCTAAAAAAGCAAAACAAGTTTCCAAAAAGCCATTAATTCTATCCAATCGGGTAAGTACCATGAACCATGTAGTCGAACAGTGATGGCATAGTATAACCTCCAATCTGAATCTTCTCTTCCAGAATAACAAACGTTCCCCCAAGAAACCGACCGGCGAACGTAACGAAAAAGGTATAATCTACGTAAAGCATCTTCCGCATGGATTTTTTGAAAGCCAGCTGAGAACTTTCTTCTGCCAGTTTGGCGATGTAATCCGCGTACATGTGGCTCGTTCGAAGAAAACCCTTCGCAGTCGTGGATATGCGTACGTTGAATTCCGTTACCGAGAGGTGGCACAGATTGCTTCCGAAACAATGAATAACTATTTGATGTTTGGTAAGCTACTGAAGACGGGACTATTGCCAGCTGGCGCCAAGCGAATTCCGCGCAAGTACGAGAAAGCTTATGATGCCAATGGTAACGAAACAACCACGTACAAACTTTGGCTGAAAAAAGAAGTGGCCAAAAGCAATGCACGGGTTACAAGGACGAAAGTGGTCAACCGTAATCTGCGTGCGCTAGGTAAACTCAAGAAGTTGAAAACGAAATATGCTGAACTGGGAGTTGAGTACAACGTCGACGAAGTCGTTCCGGATTTTGGTGAGGATGATTTAAAGGTTCCAGAGCATGATGCTGAAGAGGCCGAAAACCAGGCGAAGAAGGATAAGAAGAAGGCCAAACAGCAGCATAAGTTAGAAAAGATGGACACAAGTGTTCTGAGCGCAGGTACTGATGAAATGAGTGCGGATTCTTCCGATGATGACGATGAAGATGCCAGCTTTCTTCCTTTGGAATCTACAGACTGGGACGTTGCTACGACCAATAATGAGGACAGCGGTGATGAGGATAACAATCAAGAAAATCAACCAAACGGAAAACAAACTAAATTTGCTGCACTAGAGCTTGCCAACAAAACCAAGGCTCGTCTCGATAAAGAAAAGAAAAGGTCTCAAAAAAGTCAACGACCACTGGTACTGAGGCCTCCTAGTTCAACGGATACCTCCCCGGAAAAACCAGTATCGAAGAAAAAGCCAATAAAATCAGCAGACGAATCCCTTTCTCAAACAGAACCGGAATCGAGTCCGGAGAAAGTGATGAAAGGACGTAAGAACAAACCTTCGGCACATACCAGCACTAAAGGCAAAAAAGTCGCTGGTAGCGGCGGAGTGACGAAGAAACCGAAGAGTAAGAAGGAAAAAACGAAGGTACAAAAGAATGCGACTAGTCCTGTGAAAGGTGCCGCGAAAGCTTTGTTAAAAGATCCAAGTGTTAAACAAATTAAAGCAAAGGATATTAAGAAGAAGAAGAAGAAGAATTAATTTAAGTTTAATCTATAATGTATTTTTTGATGTCGACTATGTAGGGTTGTCGCAAATGGTTTTGTTGAAATACCCCAGTGTAATGGATACCCAATGGATGTCAATAAGTGATTAATGTAAGTTTAATAAATAATGTATTTTTTTGCTTATCAGATTATGTAGATTGTTTCTCCTTAGATGAGTTTGAAGAACTAGTTTTAATACGTTTCCATTTCATCCTACGATTTTGAAACCACACTTTGACCTGCCGTTCGCTGAGATACAAGGCGACAGCAATTTCGTACCGTCTCAGGCGGGTCAGGTAGTTGGAGTGGGCAAATTCTGCTTCTAGTGCCTTTACCTTAAAAAGATAAGTTTTTATGAAGTATTTTACTCTTCCGAAACAGAAATGAAACGTTACCTGAGTCTTAGTGAAAGCCGTTCGTTCCTTCCGATTGCTTCCGCTCGTGTTTCTGGTGGTAGTTTTGGTTGGAGTCCCTATCGGTGTGATGACGCCATCCATATCGGTGGAATTATGGTTATGTTTCTCGATGGTTGCATCTATGGAAGACGTTCGACAGTGAGCGTTCATAATGTCGTAAGACGTAAGAAGAAATTGTTTACGTTTAGTAAATTGGCCCTTATGAAAGAGGAATGTTTTAAATAATTGAATCAACGTTTACATTGTACAATTTTGAGCGGATTTATAATGTATTCTCTGTTTTGTGATTAGCGAGACATCCCAAGCAATACATATGTTCTATAACAGTTTATATAACTTTTTATAACTGGTTTTGGGTGTATAGAAGTTTACTCAACATAATTCTTTGAATATGAGTTACTTGGGACAGTTCAACATTTTTCCTAATATTTGAAGTTCTACGATTTTGTCAATAAGTGTCATTTTTTTTCAAATTCAGAAAAGTATGCATTTATGGTTCTCAAATAAAAACAAGTGTAACATTAGTAATGTTAGAAGAAAGTCATGTGCATCACACCATCCTTGCACCCAGTCACCGAGCAAAGGACTGCACCGGCAGCAAAACAAGTTAACTATTTCCCGCCCACGGTTACTCTGGACCACCATGCCTGATTTTTGTAAAAATATTATATACAAGTCTGTTTTTATTAAATCTTTTTAAAGAGATTTTTAGCCATGGCCTAGTTCATATCCGATATAATATAATCTGTACTAGTTCTTCTATTATCGAAAAAAAATCCAGGCCAATATCTCAATCTCAAGACACTCGAGAGATACTGGTTTTTAAAATTGATTATACCAAAACCCTTAGTTGAATGAAGCGCACCATATTTTCATATAAAAGATACGTGATGTGATTGATTATTTAAATTTTTGTATTTGCAAATCGGGTTTTAAATCTCAATTTAATTGATTACAATGAAAACAACCTAACACAACAAACTATTAAATCGCACTATTTTTTGTGGAATTCACCTAATATTGTCGGACATGAAAATCACGTATCTTTTAAAGTAGCCAGCATATTGTAAACAGGGCGTCAGCAACTACCAGCATGAGACTTCAGGAATAACTGAAACTCGCGCTAGTTAGTTGAACTTTCTTTTTATTCTTTATTTTAGAGATTTTTAGCCGAAGGCTAGTTCATCTCTTAAGTTGGTTGAGCTGGTGAATCACGTAGCAATGATGAAAATTAAATTAAATTTAAATAAATAAGTTCATTTAACTCTTTCCCGTCTATGGTTACTCTGGAGCATGGCCCTTTTTAACATTGTAAGCTATAACTTTCTGAAATAACTACCGATTTTTGTAAAACATATTATAACATAGTCTGTACTAGTTCTTCTAATATCGGAAGAAAATCTAGGCCAATACATCAAGACACTCCAGAGATACAGGTTTCAAAAACTGATTATTGCCAAAGCACTCTGGGCGTGAAAGGGTTAACTAAGAGCAGTTGATCGCTTCAAAATACTGTTTAAGGCAGGCGCAAGGAAATCCAGATTGTTTTATTTTTCGTTGTAAAAATTGCGTTGTTACGCGTTATGGGTAGGGGTTAGGGATATGACGATTTAGCACGCATTAGCCATGTCGGTGTTCTCCATGAAAAATGTAAACATCGAGAAATCATCGAGAGAAGTCATTGTTTACAAAAGCTGTTACGCCCTAATTCCAGCTCTATCAAGACTATATATAGATCAGGACGCGGCTGGAACGAAAATATTACAGCAGCTGCCAAAGCCATTATTGGGCTTAGCTAGCAGATTAAATAATAACACCGGAATTATTTGATTTTATTAAAAGTAAACTGAATTGATAAACACAAGTGTACCAACAAGTGTACAGTTTGAACGAACAAACGATAGCAAGTAAAATGGGCGATCGCAGTAGACGGTGCGATCGCATAGAAAAGCGTCTCTCATTTTTTATACGTGCTATTATATATAAAAAAAACTACAAGGGACAGCCCAATGGTGTTGTACGTAATGGTGACGTAGGACTACGTGGTCTTATATAATAAATATTATTTTTTAACTGCAGCAGGAGCTTGTGTAGAAATATGAATTTGAGTGGGGTTTTCTCTGTTTATACTCTTTAGTATGACGCACTTGACATAGATGGCCCACAACGACTCACGATGAGCTACTGATTCCGATCAATAGCGGTGCGGCTTCTTCCTCCTTCTATGGATGCTCATATGCGCTGCAGCTCGCTGCATGCAGGTAGCCTTTTGTTGTGTGCTGGAGAACACCACCACTCACAACGCGGTGATTGAATAAACACCGTTTGGTGAGACCAGATAGAATTCATTTTTAAAATCTGTGTTAGGGAAATTGCTTTTCGCAGGTAATCAGTGATAATTTTAATAATCATAGCAACAGTTGCACATTCGTCCAATTTTCAATAGTGAAATTTTGAAAAATGATAAAATCTTAAATTTAACGGATGCGTAGAAATATATCTGATCGATTGGTGATAAAATAATTGAAATTGGTCCAGGGGCGGCTGAGTTATTAACGTTCAAAATCTTTCATAATTTTGTTACATGTTCCATTTTTGGTTTTCACAAAGTGTACCCCCATATAGAAATCACAGACGTAGTCCTACGTCAAAAAAAAAATATATACGTGCTTTCGCTTTCACAGCACACAAACAAGCTTTGAGCTGCTGGGTTCGGCCGTTTGGGAGTTCGGCAATTGTTGCCTCCCATCCCAATAGACATGACGTCAAAATCGTTATCGGAGGTCTCAATGCTCAGGTTGGCCAGGAGGAAGAATTCGGGCCGGTTATCGGAATGTTCAGTGTACTGTACACCAGCTTCAGTGTACACAAGCGACATCAGGACCTATCACGGTACAAATCACTACCTTGTGATGGCAACAATGCGCTAAAGACTTTCCGTTGAAAACAACATTCGATACCGACGCCCACCATGGTACAATCTCAATCTCCAGAAACGCGTAAGTTCTACAAGAAACTCAACGCATCCCGCAAAGGCTTTATGCCACGAGCTGAAATGTGTCGGGATTGGGATGGAGGTATCTTGACGGATGAACGTGAGGTGATGAAAATGTGGAAGCGATGAACACCTAAATGGCGCAGAGATGGAGAACCACGACAGCAGGAGGAATGGCTTCATAGGTACGGTGGACGAGGGAGACATGCCAACTCCCATGATAAGTGAAATTAACCCTTTGTCTGTACCTCTAAAATAAAGCAAAGTTAACGGATATTAAATAAAATTCGAAATATGTTTCAACTAAGAGGCAGGCATATTAAGAAGACTTTGGCATGCATTATACAGGTATTCCACTAAGACGCCCACATTCATCAGGATGCAAAAATGTTAGAGAAAACAAAATCATTTTGATGAATAATCAAGATTGCAAAAATTTCCTGGGGTCATATTGATTGGCGAGGCATCATGTTACTGTGTATTGTTCTCAAAGTTCTGTGCAAAGTTATCCTGAATCGGATACAGGAGAAGATCGACGCGACTCTCCGACGGCAGCATTCAGGATTCCGTGTGGACCATTGTCACGCTCCGCATCATACTGGAGCAGGTCAATGAATTCCAAGAGTCCCTTTATTTGGTATTCATTGACTACAAAAAAGCTTTCGACCGTCTCAATCACGAGAATCTGTGGGGCGCCCTGAGACGCAAGGGAGTCCCGGATAAAATCGTCAACCTCATCGAAGCGCAGTATGTGGCTTTCACTTGCAGAGTTCTGCATAACGGAGCCTTGTCCGACCCTATCCGGGTAGTCGCTGGTGTGAGACAAGGATGTATACTATCACCGCTACTGTTTCTCATCGTAATCGACGAGATCATGGTAGGTTCAATTGACCGTGTACCGAACCGTGGGCTGTTTTGGCCGAGGGGGGCGACACATCTAAATCTCAAGTTTAGATGCTCAACAAATCTCACACTAGCGAATCAATCTTCGAAAAATATTCTTTCATTTGTCGCATCTATTGCATCGCTCATCATCTTTTTGCAGGAAATCTTCAGAATCGTCATCAATCTTCTTTCTATCTACTCAGCGTGCGCGCATGTAGCCACAGCTAAACACAATCTTTTTTGCATCGTAGATAGAGTCGTCCCCCTCGGCTTTGGCAGCCTATCACCATGGAGCATCTCAAGGACTTCGATTTGGCTGATGTTGTTGCTCTACTAGCACAACGGCGCTCTGATATGCAGAGTAACAACAAGACCAAATCGTTGGATATCAACACGGGCAACCCTTCCAACTTTACGGTAGCGGGGTAAGCAGTGGAGAAGGTCAAAAGTATCCAATATCTTGGCAGCCAAATAGCGTCGGACGGCGGGACCAAGAGCGACATAGGTGCACGAATCAAGAAGGCTAGGGCTGCCTTTGCGAGTTTACGAAACATATGGAGATCCAACCAGATAAGTCAACGCATCAAAATCCGAATTTTCAACTCGAACGTGAAATCTGTGTTGTGATACGCCAGCGAGACGTGGTGTTTATCAGCGGAGAACACTCAAAAGCTGCAGGTCTTCATCAACCGATGCCTGCGGTATATAATTCGTGCCTGGTGGCCTCACAACTGGATCTCGAATGCCGAGCTCCATCGTCGAGGTCATCAGAAGCCGATAGCAACAGAAATTCGAGAGCGAAAGTGGAGGTGGGTCGGCCACACACTTCGACGGGGCGGAAACGAAATCTGCAAGCAAGCGCTGGATTGGAATCCGGCAGGACATCGCAGCAGAGGCAGACCCAGGGGCTCATGGCGGTGGAGCCTCAATAAGGAAATTAAGCAAGTCGATAGGAATCTGACCTGGGCCCAGGTCAAGGCAAAAGCGACCAGCCGCCCAGGATGGAAGTCTTTCACGTTGGCCCTTTGCACCGCTGGTGGTGCACAGGACCCTTAAGTATATTGACCCCGTGATACAGACCTAGGAGGGAGAAGCAGACTAAAAAAATATGAACGTCAAAAGGAGCCAGAATCAAGCTCTCACGAACCGTCATTATGGGAGCCAAGCAGTTTGATGATGCTTTTCTTACAGTTGAACAAGAATACACAAGGTGGAATTAGAATCTTGCGCAATGTAATT